AAAAAAGTGAAAATCAGGAACCGTGATAATTTGTATTTTGAAGTATTCTGATATATTACTCCAGAGAAACAGTGTACTAAGTAATTAAGTTTATGGTATACTGTCATCAATATACTTGAAGATTAAAATACTAATGAAAGTACATTGTTATTTTGATAAATCACTTGATGTGTCATTGTTGTTGACATTGTCAAAACTTTAAATACAGAAATACCGACAGCCAGGGGCAAATGGAAACGAATGATGGGGATAATGCTAAAAAATGGGTTCCAGCTTCAATTACACACTGGTGGAGTCAATTTACTAATTAGACAGCTTTTGGAGCCAGTTGTACTTTATTTTAGGAGTATTAAAGTGAAGAGGTTTAACTCAAATGCTCTTCATACTTTTCTCATTTTAAATTTTCTAAAAAAACCAAAAATTAACTAGTCTTTTTTGTTTTGGCCTGTACATAAAATCCAGTGAAAAGCATGAACTCTGTTATTGTAATGTGACAAAATGTATAAGCACTTGAGCGATGTGAATAAGTTTGCAATGCGAAGTATAAACTCTATATTTAATATAACTCCATAAAAGATCAAGTAAAAAAAATACAAAAAATTGAATCAGTCCAAAAAACCTGTGAAATCATGTTTATTTTTAAAACCTTAGTAATGTAATAGCTAACAAACTAACCTTTGACTAATTTTTCCAATCTTCTTTATTTCCCTTAAGCTTTTTTGAAATTAACATTTAAGCATTTTGCTGGAAATACACTGAAAAAACAAAACAGGCAATCCAACTTCTAAAAAAAAGGGTTTATTTGTTGCAAATAGTTCAGTCAAGTTTATCCAAGTGAATATATTCAGTTTGTTAAGTTGTCATGTTGAACAAGTGTGAATCCATAAAGCCTGACAAACTTAAAGAGCTCCATTCCCTTAGTGTATAACTATAATCTTTTTAGCATTATATTTTAATAAGAAAAAGAAGGTGACATGCATTTAGCTGAGTGCGTTGACCAGTTGATGTGTTTTTGCTTTCAGATATTCTAACAATAAAACAAAAATCAATGAAAGTGGATGGATCTTAAAGTTAGCACAGCGTGTGAAGGGTGTGCTGAGGTAAATGGGTTGGCTGTGGTTTCTGATGCATGCTGGCGTGACTCTGTGCCGAGGATCTGCGGCATCTTCAGGATAAGACCTGGACTCAGCAAGCCGATCTCATAGTCTGGCTCGATTGCGGGGGGAGGTGGGGGCGGCGGTAAGAGGATTGGACTGGCTACGGCCGCACGTGAGAGCCAGACTCACCGACTTCCTCGCTGCAGTGACCCAGCCGCCCCACATACACCAACTGCAAACAAAAATCAAAACAATACAGCTTCAGGTCGGACACTGGATCCTGGATGACTTGTTGGGTCACCATGACTGTCCCAGACACGTCCAGTGTTGTTCTGCTATTTCTGTTTAATGCAGATCAGATTTCATAGTTTGCTTTTTAAAGGTTACTTTGTAAACTTTGACTTTTATATCTTGTTTTGCATGTTTTTTACAACTGCAAAGGTTTTGCATCTGCAAAATTTGATTTAATCAGGTTTTGCATTTTATTTAGTCACTATGAATCACAAAATAGAAACAAGTGCCAGAAACTGAATGTAAATTGGGATACAGTGAAAATATTGGCAGCTATGGTTACCATATAAATCTGTATTTATATGGTCAAATTTACCATATTAATACAAATTTTATCATAATTATACAACAAAACTATGGCAACACAGAATCTTACCATATAAATACGGATTTTACCGTATTTATACTGCAAAATTATGGCCATATTTATGATTATTGTATTATTACAATATATGGTAAAATTATGGCAACACAGAAATTAACCATATAAATGTGGATTTATATGGTAACCACAGCTGCCAGTATTTTACCTTAAATCAGACACTTTTTTTTACGTTGTATGTTATTTTCAAAAGTAAATTAGAGGAAATTGATTCTGAAATGTAAAAGAAGATTTATTAAAAGATACAACCATGAAGTTGTTTTTTCTGGTGTTAAATGTATATTTGCACATAAAAAATATATATTTTTGCAATAAATTACAATATTAAACAAATAGTTTATAGTTTTGTTTCTTCACAATGACTGAATTTATCATAATGTTTCCACCGACATTTAATTATTTTCCCATGATAACTTTCTTTTTTTTCATATCTCTTACGTGCATATTATTTATCTATTTACTTATTAATTTGGGGGTTAAAATACGGTTTCAAAAGCACTATTTGATGAATGTTTGACATGTTTTTATCCAACCATGGAGCTGTGAACTGTATCATTATATTTCAAATCAAATACTTAAATGCTCATTAAGAAAATTGCGTAAGGGAAATAAAAACGGTTCGGCAAAATGAAAGGACGTTCATTTTTCTAGCTGTTAACAAATTACTAAGCAATTCAGAAATAAATTCTGTGTGATATGGGGTATAAAAGTGGCTGTCTGGTTGGAAGAAGTGTTGTGTGAATCTTGACATTTGAAGGAATGAGCAAGGGCAAAAACGGTGTTCATAAACCCTTCGACAATAAATCAGAAGTGACAGAAGATTGACAGTAAAACAAATCAGTCCAGAATAGCCACCGACTGGAGGTCAAAGATGAAGCGAGAAAACAACGACTAACAAGGAAAAACAACATTTTGTTCTTATTTAGATGAGGTAGCACCGTTCATATCTCCGCTTGATGTGAAACTAGGATAAATGTGATATATGCACTATTCTCCCAGAAGCAGTGCATGTTTGTATACATAAAATATCCTCAGGTGACACACAGTATACTGAACAATGCTTAAAACTGCTACTCAATTTAATCGTTTTCAATTCAAAATCTGTGGCAAAAATATTTGCTTAGGCCTTGTTTGTGAGGCTATAATAAGCAGCTATTTCAAACACTTTAAATGTGGTATTGCAGGATTTGCATGTAAATAATTTACTTGACCAAACAGTTTTAAAGACTCAACTTGTTTTCCTTTTTGCCTAATTTCTCATTTTCACTTTTAGACTCTCTTTTGTGTTTTAATATTATTACTTTTATTATCTATTATTGTTCGCAACAAACTTATCTTTAGGCGTTTTAACCCTTTAATCAGTAGCATATTTGTGCCAAACTACAAACTTTGAAGGGGACAAGCCAGGATCAGCAGAAAAAAAAAATCTAATGGAGTCATGTCCATTATTTTCTTATTTTGTTGAGAATTTTGTTTTATCCTGTGGGAAAAACTCATCATAAATGTTTTCCATCCATGCCTTCTCCATGTTCTGTTTGTTTGTTGCTGTTTGAAGCGTTGGCAGAGTGGTGTAGCAGTACCCGTTTCCACCAACAGATGGCAGCATAAAGGAAGTCTCTGAATAAACCTTTATTTATTTATTACGGTTTGTTTTTATGACCTGGTGCCTTCATTCTTTTACAATTGTTAACGCTTATCAACAATGCAACTGCGCACAGGTCATTTTCCAACATTTTTGTGGCGATAAAAATCAAAAGTCGTTGTAATTTAACTGCCACGTCTATTTTTGATCTGTTACTATGTAAATAATGAGCATTATATTTAGATCTCGGACAGAGTGTTTAGAATCAGAATAATCTTTCGGATTACTCTTTTTCTTCAAGAACTGAGACAGATTAATCAGTTTGATGGGCAAAGACAGATTTAGATTATTTACCTGCAAAAGCAGCTTCCGTTTTTAATTTCAGTTTTACTAGGGAATAATCTTAGTCAGATGTACAGGCAGATACCGGGATCAACATACATGGCTATAGCTGCCCGTGTTCGTGGTGTAATGATATCATCCCGACTGTTTACCCGTCATTGTCACTATCTGATCGAGCAGCTTCCTGCAGCAGCGCCACTTCTGGCTGACAGCGGAACTGCAGGACGTCAAGTTGTGCAGGACAGAGCTGCAACTTCCTGGCTGAAACTTGCTAAAATAAAACACATCATTATGATAATAATCCAGGGTGTATTCAAAGTTACAAGAGCAAAAATCGCTTGATGTGTTTATGCATCCTTGAAAAGAAAAGCATGCATTTTTAAGTGTGAAAAAAAACTTTCAAGATCTCCACTTTTTCAGTTGAACAGATATTAACTCGTTTTAATAATTGTGAAATACATATAAGTCAGAATATGGTCCAAAATGGTAACAAGCAAGCTTCATTTGCAGAAAAGTATGAGCTAATTGCATGAGTTTGTTGTTTTTGTGAAAACAAGCAAACAAAAACAAGGTCAAGCTTGTTTTTAAGTATTCTTTAATACGAGATAAAAGATGCATTGCTATTCTTATTTGATTAAAATTACTGGGTATATAAATTAGTTTCATTTTGCTCTCTAAAACACCAATACTTCCACATAACTTTATATTCTGGTTCATCTGATGATGTGATTTTTAAATATTAAATAATTGATGGTTTAATCAGTTATTCTGCACTCAAGTTACCAAATATTTTTAAAAATAACATTAAATCATAAGTAGTTTTATTATGGTGTAATTTTTACTAAGTCTTGAGTAATTTTATCATGAAGTATCTCTACTCTTACTCTCTCTCTCTATGCATATATATATAAATATGTGTGTGGGGGGGGAGGGGGGGTATTTCTTTTGCTTGATTTTGTTATTTTGTAATTGTGTTATTAATATAAAGTATTTTCATTTTGGTCTTACTGATATTTCCACATAGCTTTATATTTTGATTCATTTAATTATGCAAATTTTAGCTATTAGTCAATCAGTACTCTAATTGTCCACATGTGTAATTTGTTACTTGTATTTAAAAAGATATGTTGAAGTGGTGCTACTCTTACTGGAGTAAAATCCTTTGGGTCCCCTCTGGTGTCCAGTTCGGAAAACAATAAAATAGCATATAACTGGACCTTGAACTCAGCCTGAAGAAGTGTGCGTGAAGTTGATCGTCCTGTTCTGCTTTCAGGGAGTATTTCCGCTCTTGCATGCGGGTTTGTTGCGTGCAGCTTGACGCAGCCAGCCCCGTCTGTAGCTGCTTGCTGGCTGCTGCAGGCGTGCTATTTTGCAGCAGCGGAGGCACCTCTGCGAAATGCCTTTTGTATGCCCGGCTGGTGTTTCTTCGTTGTTGTTGTTTTTTTTTTTTTTTTTTTTTTTTTGGTGGGGGGGAGGTTCTGCTTGGTTTCGTGAGGGCGCCCATCACAGTGTTTTTGTAGCCATGCTCTGCTCTGGGTCCGGCCGGGCTGTCCTCGCTGACTGAGCCGCTCCGGCAGCGCTGGGTCCGGGTGCAGTGCACAGCCGGGGGATGAGGCCTACTTGTTAAAGCTCCCCCAACACCCCACCGCCGCGATGGCTGATGATCAACAACAACCTGGTCAGAAGCCTGCCTCGGGATTAGGCTCTCTTCCAGCGCTGGTGCCAGGACTCCAAGGGCCCGAGGCCAACGCGTTGCAGTTCAAAATAAAGAATTCAATTTGGTAAGGATGGTGCTGATCCATCAAAAGCTAGCCTCGCAATCAGCGTACAGGCAGGGAGGCAGGGATCTGCACAAAGCGGCCAAGAATTACACGCGTTTCCCCGAGCTAGCCTCGGTTTCTTCTCCGGAACACGCATGCAGGGATCCGGGGACGGTGTCCGGGTTCGGGCTGCTGCCGTAATAAGATGGCAGAGACGGGCAGGTAGCAGCTCTGATCATTAGCATGGAGCCATAGGAGGCCATGTTATAATAGATGACACCAACCCCACCGGTGGTGCTGATGCTCAGGATGATGACAGGTGTCAAAGCAGAATGCTGCACGGACTCGGCCTCATTGTGATTTCCATTATGCTGCACACATGCCTGCACATTATATATGTCATTATTATTAGGCGACGTGCTTGCTTTAAACATGTTTAGCCTGATTTCTGCTGTGCAACATCTGAATACCCAAATAAAATGCTTTTAAAAAACAATCTCTATATATGTATATATATAAATTAACTCGTTAAGTAGGTAATAAACAAAGTGATAGTTTAAGGCAGGGAAGGGCGATATGGATTTATAGTGTATCGTGATGATTAGGGGTGCACCGCTTACCGCATTAAGCAATAAATCAATTAATCGCATGAGTTCAATAATTTCCTTTTGCATAATTTATTGAAAAAAATCTTCGGGCTCCATCTAATTGAAGGACAATTTTATTTAGAGAGATTTTACATGCTGTTTCTGTTGTTTTGTTGATTTATTTTGGATATTTAAAACGTCTTCCAGTTAAGTGTTAAATGTTCATTAGAATGTAAAGTTTATTGATCTCTGAGAGTGTGTTCTTGCATTATTTATGATATTGCCATTATATTACTTCAAAATGGTCTCAAAACAACAATATTATTGTTTATCGAAATAACTTTTGGGAGAATTTATCATCCAGCACATTGGTGGATATTATCTGTACTCCTAAAATTAAGAAAACTGGGACCGATGTGTTGGTTGGTGGATTTAGCAATGCTCCTTAATTGTGAAAACAATAAAAGTGACCATAGGAAGTATTTATTGCTACTGTTTGAAGTAACTGTATGGCTGCAACTTTGTGTTACAAACATTATAGCCTCCAAAACCCCCAAACATTTCCATTTGTAATATGCTTCCATGGGACACCAATCACATCAAAAATGTGATTTATTATTACTAAATTGCAAATCATAACTGCATTTAATTATATTTTCAGACTTATTGATATTTATTGATGATTTTAGTGAACAATCAGTGGAAAAAATAGTAAAATGAACAGTTCAGACAATGTTGGAGGGTTTAAACATCATCACTTGGGATATATTAACAACATTAAATCAAAATTATCGTAATAAGAAATTTATCTCAATAAATAATAAATTATGTGATAAATTGTTTATTATTTAATTGGGTTTCTGGTATAAAAATAGATTCGTTATTGTTGCTGTTCTTAAATAAACAATACAATATTGTATTGTTTATCATTTATTGTGAACGATTTCTTATAAGAATTTAAGTTTATTGTCAAGATAAATTTCACTTATTGATGTTAAATGAAACACAAACCAAAACTGTATTGGTTTTGTTTTCTGTTATGATCGGAAATGTTATTTTTGTTATTTTCTAAACTGTTTGCTTCCTGAAAGCATCAATTAATATCAGTACATTTAAAGTATGATTAAATGCAGTTAGTCTGTGCAGTTTACTGATTTAAATCACTTTTTAAGTAAGTGGTGTAGTAAAGAAGCCGATTAAGTCCTAAATCCATTTTGCCCAGCTATATTATGGCACCTTTCATTTTCTTTAAATATTCATCATATTTTTCATGAATGAGAGTTTTTGATATCCACTGTACAGATTGTTTTGTTTTTTTATTATTATATTCTCCCAAAGGTTTGTCATCAGTTACACACACACACACACACACACACACACACACACACACACACACACACACACACACACACACACACACACACACACACACACACACACACACACGTCGCCATAAATGGTGAAGCTGTAGGCAGGAGGGATCTCCAGCAGCAGTCAGTTTTGCAACAATTCTGAAGAGGCCTCTGACCGAAGACAGTCTAGTTTAGGTATCACTTCAGCATCTGAGATGCTTGTTTGCTTCGCTCATTTGTAAAAACTATAATCTGATGCCATAGTTACCCATCATCCAGTACAGCTTCATTGCATTCAAAGCTAGAAGGAATAAGAAATTGTTTTCAAAAGACCAAAGAAGAAAAGAGACAAGAACGTCTGTAACAAATTAAAGTGATGCAAATTGTTCTGATATTGTTTTCTTTCTCATTGTAGCAAATCTGTACAATCAAAAGTGGACAGCATATTGGTAAGTATCTGGACCTCCAACTATATGTTGTTTTCCCTTTAATATCTCACAATTTTACATCAAATATTACATTATATTATACCGTTATGCTAACCCTAACATGTCGATGTTTATTGTCATTTTTTAAATTAAGCTAACTTATTGAACAATTTTTATATTTGAATTATTATTATACTTTTTATTTTATTAAAAAATCAAATTCAAAGAAATTTTATTTATAATAAATGTATTTATTCAAATAAATAAATATATTTCTTTACTCAAATAACACATTTATTTATTTGTTCAAATAAATATTTTATTTATGTATTCCAGTAAATAATTAATAGTTTATTTGAATAAATCCAAAATTAATATGTTAATCTTTAATCTTTATTAAGGACAGTGCACATTAATGAACAATCAACACTACTGTATAGACTGTAAATGAGCCAGATTATAGCATAATTGCTATAATTAATAACATAGAAGTATTTTAATTTTGACCTGTATGTGTAGAGTTTGGCAGCCCTAAAATACATTTACATAAATACATTTTACTTCTTTAAATCAGATTTTAAAAATTAAACGTTATATTAAATTTCATGGAACAATAAAAATGTACTTATTTAATTATTCAATTAATTTTGTATTATTTCACAAATGTATACACTTTTTAGATGTATAAATCTTCAAATATTTTATATACATTGTATAAAAGATTTTTATTTGAAAGTTTTTGACGCTTTCTGTTTCTGCATATTTGTTTATGAACGTTTGCAGTTTTATTTTTAGGTTATCTAATCAGAAAAAGCAACACGTTTCTCCTCTGCTGGCTCAATTTTCGAACGTTTAGGTTTGTATTCGTTGCTGAAGTGGATCACAGATGTTTTTCTCCACAAAGCGGGAACGGTGACATCAAAGCGATGTGATCACGCTTTTGTCTATTTTTTGTCACACAAATAAAATAGAAAGTATTTTAATTTCGACCGATATGCGTAGAGTTTGGCAGCTCTGTTACTCCTGAAACCTGATCCACCGCTCGGCTTCTCTGATGCAAAAACATCAAACGAGATTCGAATGACGCGATTATAAAGTGGAGGAGGCGGATTCTGTCTTTTGTTTCCTGGACTAAAAAAAATAAATAAAACATCTCTAATATATGAATACATTCATGTTTTTTTTTTCAGAAGTGGAAGAAATAATCTGATTTTTTTTTTTTGTCTGGAAAGAAAATGGAAAACAAAAAAACAGGTTTTAAAAAACAAGTTTGCATTTTCAGACTTTATTGTAATTTATGTGCCCTTACTTCTTTTTATTTTTCCTCTTTCCTTATTTATGTTCTTCCCGTCTTCCTTGTGTTCTTTATTTCTTGCATCCGTCCTTCCCTCCTTCTATCTTTGTGTACTTCCTTTTTCCTGCTTTTCATTTCCTTATTTTTCTTCCTAAACCTTTGTGTCCAATTTGTCTTCTTCCTGTTTTCCTTTTTTTGTGTTTTGTTGTATCCTCTCTTACTTCTGTCTGTCCATTCTTAATTTCTTGTATAGTGAAAATACTTCATTTTCACTATACAAGTGAAAATGTATAGTCACTTCTGATGTTTCACTTCATCAGAAGTGAAACATTAACAGTGTGGATCTTTTCAAATCTAATCCAGTAAATATTAGATTTACCGGATCTCTTCAAATTCCCTTCAATGGAATTTTAAGAGATATTTCCAGGAATATTGTTTTATACAATCAGCGATATTTTAATGCTTTTAAATGGTTGAATTAAAAAAAAAAGTTTAAGTTTCTCCCACAAACTGCCCCTGAAGCCTTTTGTGTTAGTATTTTATAACCGAGGCCTGCTGTCGTTTCCAAACAGGATGTGCGACTCGTAGTAAACAACGTTTTCAGTCTCGTCTGATTGGCTGACGGCTCGTTCATTTGGGTTCTCATGGCAACAAAAAGGCAAACAGACGAGTGAGAGGCGATATGAACCCATTCTTAGAAATTCAGCTGAAGGCCAGTCGGAGTACTCAGATGGTTCTGCAATCTTGAGTATTTTCACATCACTGATATTTAAACACTAAAGCACCTAGCTGCTATATTCACAGTAAATTTGCCGTAGAATCGCCGTAGCATTTCCTGAAATAGATCACTTTTTACCAGTTATTTTGGTTATTTAATTTGACTGCTCTTTAATATACTTTTGACCAAACCAGATTTGAATATGTGTTTATAATTAGATTGTTTGAAACTGATTTGATGTAATAATTGAGCCTGTTTTATTTTAGATGACATTTATTTTGATTTGCATCTATGTAAACATAACGCACTAAATGTAACGTTCTGAACAAGAGGTACATAAACCAATGTTTACGGAAAACTTTTCCAGTTTGCTGTGCTTCACATATACAATCAGAGAAAAAGAGAGAAAGAAAGGACACAAGAAAAGAGAGAAGGATAGATTGAAGGAAGGAAAGAGGGAAGGAAGGAGAAATTTGAGTTAGGAAGGGCACAATTAAGATAGAAAGGAAGGAAGAACACAATGGATGACATAAGGAAGGAAAGATTTAGGGATATAAGGAAGAAAAATGAAACAGAATGAAGGAAGGAAAGAGATAATTGAAGAAGGAAGGACACAATGAAAAGCATAGGGAAGGAAGGGAAGAAGGAACAAAGGGACAAAACAGGAAAAATTGAGGGACATAAGGAAGAAAAAGAAAAATGGAAAGAAGGAAGGGAGGAAGGAAGGCACACGAGGAAGGAAGGACAGAACATCAGCAAAAAAGAAAAGAAGGGCAAAGAAAAAGAAAGAAGGAAAGGAATGAAGGAAAGATAATTAGTAAGAAGGATAAAGGAAGGAATATTAGGTATGTTGAAGGACAGAATGAAAGGTGGAAAAAAGGAAAGGAAGTATCTGAGGAAGCGAGGAAGGACACATGAATGATGGAAGGACAAAATTTAGACAATAAAAATCTGGAAATCCAAATACTCTAAATTACTTTAAATGCTCCACACTTCTCCAGGTTCTGTAAGACTTTGGAAGCAAATTAAACGGTAATAAATTATTTTTTATGCCATGTTTATTTAAACAATTGCTCCTTTGTGTTGTTTTGATTTTTTACAGCAAGATGTTGAGAAGTTTACAGACATCGAAAAGCTCTACCTCTACCTTAAGTTGCCTTCTGGTCCCAGCAGTGGCAATGATAAAAGGTAAGAAACACAACAAACTAAAGTTTAACGCTTCGGTTCTTCTTCACAGGAAAAACCTTTTAGTAATTTCTCTTACATTTTTGAACTGTGTGTCATTTCTGCCAGCTATTAAAATCCCAGTTCACTGGCTAAAATCAAGCTGAACAAGTTTAATGGCAGTTTTATTTCCTATTCGCCACATTTATTTATTCTTTTTTTTAACCTTTTTTACCTCTGCATCATTTTGATTATCAGTATGAACCAAAGCACTGAAATATCTCTAGATTCCTGCTCTATACCTAGCTGTCTGTGTGTCATTTGTTTCCCCATATCTATTCATCACCCCGACCCCCAAATTCTGCCCATTTGGACTGGGAATGAGAGGGGGTCCTCTACTGCTGGATTATGGTATTACAGTTTCTGTATTCGCAAGAAAAATGATGCGAAGCAGTCCAGGACTCGGCGCACTCACCAGATTTTTCTTTTGCTTTGGGCCCTTTTCAGTGATCAGAGTTCCATGTCGTCGAGCCGTACTCAACAGATGTATGCATTCAACTGGATACGCAATCACCTAGAAGAGCATCCGGAGACGTCCCTCCCAAAGCAAGAGGTGTACGACGAATACAAGTGGGTGAAGAGAGAGAAATACACAGAAAATTTATTTTATTTTAATGAGAAGTGATGTAAAAAAAACAATCTGGTTTTGTTCAGGAGCTATTGTGACAATCTTGGCTACAATCCACTGAGTGCAGCAGACTTTGGGAAGATCATGAAGAATGTCTTTCCCAACATGAAGGCACGTCGTCTGGGCATGAGGGGAAAATCCAAATATCCTTACAATGAAATCGATATGTTCAAACACTGAATGAATGTTTATTCATTGCAGATGTCCAGTTTCAGATTTTGTGAAGTTAATCGCTATAATTAGCAGTATTCTTCTTTCCAGATTTCTTACAGTGATCAGTACACTGCAAAAACACAAAATGTTACCGAGTATTTTGATTTAGTTTGTGTTGCAAATATCTTATTACACGTGAAAAAAGACAAACTAGCAACTTCACTAATTCTTCAATATTGATAAAATAACAAAAATGTCAAAAATGTGTCGTGCCCCTACATTTCACAGTGGTTTAAAGTTTGTGACAACCTGGAAACCTTGGTTCTCCTCGGTTTGGATCCGACTCTTGTTCTGAAGCCTTAACTCCTTCGCACATACTGCTACAGCGGGTTAAGAAAGAAAGCTTTTGTTCACATGCCATCCCTACCCAACCTGGATCTGCAGAAATCTGGTGACGGGGTGAGTTGCAACGAATCTCGCTTGACTCAAACCTTCCCAAACCATTTCGGTGTTCCTGAACCGGCTCTGCTGCTGTTCGGACAGTGTGAGCTGATGGAGTCAACCGGTCAGTCTCCCAGCGCCGAGGATGAGATGAGATCCGCGGCCTGTGGGCTGGTGTGTGAGTGGGCTCAGAAGGTGCTCAGCCGTCAGTTTGACAGCGTGGAGGATCTGGCTCGCTTCCTGCTCAACAGTCACTACATTGGTACAAAGTCCATGGCTGCTCTCACTGTTATGACTGGAACACCCACAGGTAGAATACCCGCTGCAGGGATCGGATCTGTTTGTGTATGTTGGATGCTCGCTCTGCCGATGCTAGAAAAAAAGCAGACTGACTGGTTTACATTCTTTTAATGATTTCATATGGTTCATGCTGTATGCACAATATCTTTAAAGCAATTTACAGATAACCAGATGTTTTCTTTTTGCTATGAATACATTCTCTTTTGTTATTATCTGCAACAAAAACACAAATAAAGCAGATAATATTGTTATTGAAGAGTCAGACAAATATAAATTTTTACTGTAATAATCAAGTGTTGCTTTAACTACGGCATCTGACTTGTGTTTTACTTTATAACTCTTACAAACATCAACCACAAACTTTTTTGCAGTAGTTAGAGTAATGTGCCTGATCTCTATAGATTCTTCTTGAACTGTTCTTGCCTTGACAGGAATGAAGACCCCAACTCCAGCCTCTGCATTTGTTCCCACTGCTGAGGCAAACTCTTTCCAGCCCCAAGTGAAGACCCTGGCGTCGCCCTCTGTTGACGCAAAGCAGCAACTGCAGCGCAAAATCCAGAAGAAGCAGCAGGAGCAGAAGCTTCACTCACCACTGCCCAATGAGGCCCAGGTGAAGCGGACAGAGGCCAGTACGCCCGGACCCACCATCCCCTGTGGCAGTCCTGCTCTGCTGTCCCCTCAGCCAACCATAGGAATCGTAGTAGCAGCCGTCCCCAGCCCAGTCCCGGTACATGTCCTGACTTTTCTCAATTTTTTATTTCCAGAGTAGGACTGTGATTATTTCAGTCATCACACTGCAAAAACACCAAATCTTACCAAGTATTTTGAGTCTAGTTTCTAGTGCAGATATGTTAGTACACTTGAAATGAGACAAAATCAACTTTTTATCAAGACATAGAGGTTTTTTTCACATAAATAATTCTTATATATTAATGAAAAAGTGCTAGTTCCATTGGTAGATTATCTCATTTACAAGACACTTTTTCCATATTGTAAGTGAACTAGTACTTTTTCCATCAATATTAAGATATTATTTTCTTAAAAACAGCTGGCTAAATCTTGCTGAAAAGTTACTTTTTACTTAGTTTGTCTTATTTCACGGGTTCTAAGATATTTGCACTAGAAACTAGACCCAAAGTACTTGGGAAGACTTGGTGTTTTTGCGATGCACGCCATATTGACAAACTTGTCAGAAATGAAAGTGTCGTGCAATTCCGATAATCATCGTGCTGGAATACAGTGCGCTACCTAGTCAAACATCATTTAATGAAGCCTAAAGGAGTTTTATGACTCAAAGCACTCAAAGCATTCGATGAATCGTTACAGCCCTACTCCAGAGATGTGTTTTATGTGTATAAGTGTACCAATAAATGGTGTTTTGTTCCTCAGGTACAGAGAAACAGGCAGTTAATGACCTCACCGAGCCCTGTGGGGACTGCGGAAGGAAAAGTGTTGCCTGTAAACTTCCAGGTTGTCACTCAGTCACTCAAACAGTCTCCCAAAACACCCCAGAATGTCTCAGCAAGTCCAGTGGGAGACAGACTGGCACGACATGGCACGCGGTACGCCCAAATCCTTCCCAAGCCCTCTGCCACGAGTGCCATAACCCTGCGCTCTCCACCCACGCTGCTCATCACCAACAGCCCTATAAAGACAGTGATGCCCTCTCCCCACGTCAGCTCTGTCAACGTGGTGAAGATGACGGCTATTGCTTTGGCCCCCAGCAGCAGCAGTAACAGCAGTGTGCGACCAGCCTCTGCCGGTGTGACCGTCGCAGCTGCCTTGGACGATTCCCAGCTGTCCCAGAGCGGGAATTCGGCAGCTCCCCAGTCTCCTGCAGTCAAATCTGCTGCAACATTGACCCCAATTCTCTCTGTGGACACCAAAGGGTTGTCTGATGCTGGAAGTGACAATAATTCCTTGTCTGTGGCAGAGAAACATGTTGAAGGAGCCAAAGAGGAGAAGATGGTAAAATTCAGAGCTGCAAGTGAGCCAAGCTTTTTGGTTAAATGTTCACCAGGACCAGAGAAAGGGTTGCGGACAAAGAGTGACTCCGCCTCCCCTCCCAGCTCTGCATCTGGGACTCAGGACAGCAATAACAGTAACTGCCATGACAGTACTTTGTACTTGACTGTTGATAATCAGAACTCCAATGGCAACACATCGTCCAACGGCTCGTCCGCTGTTACTCTCACATCTAAGGATGCCTGCCTAGATGCCAAGAGCCCCAGGAAGCGTGCAGCGGGGGAATCCCACGTTATTCCTGTCAAGAGGGTGTTTATCTCCCAGCAACCGGTTGCTGTCATTGACAATCCCAAACCTGGGTTGAACACTGCAATGAAGAGAATTCCCAGACCAGGAACCCCTGCGAGACCAGAGAGTGCCCCCTGCAAAGGGATTGCCAAACATATGGCATTGGGGCCCGCACAGATCCTTGCACTTACAGACGCGCCTCTCACGCACACAGAGGGAACGCAGACTGCCGCGAAACAGCAAGATTCAAAACACGAGGACCATTCCATCGATGTGGATCCCTCTGCTGGACCAGCAGGAAACAACGCGTCCGACCACACGCTGCTGCAGCAGATCACTGGGGACCCTCGTGCCATTACGGCCAACTCAGGACCACACGAAGCCTCTGTGAGCGATTTAAAGAGCACAATATGGGAGCCTCAGCAGATACCAGCAGAACACAAACAGACTCCCACTGACCAGCTCTCCATGATGGCTCAACCGTCCGATGCCTCGGGCCAGCTCACCCTCACGCAGATGGTCGACTTTGCCAGTTCTCAGCCGAACATGGAGTACTTCTCGTTCAACGATGACGACATGACGCAGGATAGCATTGTGGAAGAGCTGGTCCAGATGGAGGAGCAGATGAAGCTGAAGGGCCTCTTTGGGAACTGTGTGGACGTGTCCGGGTTGCAGGGTCAGTCGGCCGGCGGACAGGGCTCGATCCTCGCCGCCCATCAAACCAGTTCGACCTTCTACCACTCGACTCACAGCAGCACCACTCCTGTTCAGACCCCGACCCCGACTCCGACACCCACCCCCACGCCAACTCCGACTTCTGAGATGACGCTCGCGCACGGCCTGACCCGAGAGAGCCCCTGCTCCCGAATGGCTCCCGTCACCCCCGTAGATGGAGCAATGGGCCGGCACACCCCAATCAGCACGCCGCTCTCCAACTGCAGCAGCAGCGTGCCGCCGAGCCCCGTGGAGTGCAGGAACCCTTTTGCTTTCACTCCCATAAATTCGAGCATCACGGGATACCATGATGCGAGCATCGTCTCCAGCAGCCCTGTCAAACCCATGCAAAGGCCCATGGCGACGCACCCCGACAAGGCCAAGCTGGAGTGGATCAACAACCGTTACAACAGTAACTCTGCCGGACCTCTATCTAACCACAGCATCGGCATTCTGCCAAGCTACCAAGACCTGGTGGACGATCAATTTCGCAAACCTCACGCATTTGCAATTCCTGGCCAGTCGTTCCAGTCTCAGGCGAGACAGGACGGCGCTCACTTTGGACGCATTACTCCAATTTCTCCAGTGCAGCAGCAGCAAACACAGCAGCAGGCAAGTGGTGTAACGACTCCCACCAAGCAGGAGAGTTTTGCCGTACCTGCACCGCTAGACAACAAGGCTTCCGCCTCAACTGCGTCCAACACTTTCCGCTGCCGCAGTGTTAGTCCTGCTGTGCGGCAGAGGAACTTCAGCGGTAATACCAACCCTCCAGCCACCACCACGAGCACCACAACAACGACTCGAGCCGTGGTCTCGCCCTTTAACTCCCCCATAACCTCGGAGGTGCTCAGCATCCTGTCTAACAGCCAGACTGTCAGCTCTGTGCACAGCATGGTGCAGCGCAGCCAGTCCGTACCTCTGAACATCATGATGCAGAGCGAGATGCTGCCTGTGCAGGGTCAGAGTAACACCGCCAAGATCACCAGCGTCCTCCTTAGCAAGATGGAAGCAGATGGAGACGACTCCGTCCGTGGTCTGGGCATCAACAACTTGCCCTCTAATTACACGGCCCGCATGAACCTCACCCAGATTCTAGAGACGGCTCCGAGCTTCTCGGGAGGAACCGCGTCCCAGAATCAGCTGCCCGTCAACTCCAGCCCTGCTGCCTTCGAGCTCCAGCAGCATGGCTACCTCACAGCTGGGGACACTCAAGCACAAGCAGGTCCCAGTGAGCAAGACCAGCACCAGCAGCAGCTCCGAGAAGATCCCGCGCAGACACAACCGCAGCTCCTCCTCCAGAGCACACAGCAGCAGCAGGAGGCGGAGGATGAACAGCAGCAACTCGATTTCAACAACACTGTCAAGGACTTGCTGGGCGAGGACGGACTCAATCCCAGCTCCCAACTGGTGGGTCAGGTCGCCTCGGAGCTCAACGCAGTGGCGTCCGACTTCTCCAACGACATCAGACTGACCTCAGATCTGTCCAGTAGCATCACTGACCTTAACACGTTGGACGCCAACTTGCTGTTTGACCCCAATCAGCAGCAGGAGCAGTACGAAGACTCGACACTGGAAGAACTAAAGAACGACCCACTTTTCCAGCAGATATGCAGTGATACTGTGAATTCTGGTTTCGAGTGGCTAGAGAGCAAAGACCAGCCTACTACCGTGGAGATGCTGGGTTAACGTTCTCTTCTACTCTGTATGATTTATGTTCTCTGTTTGTTCAGTTTGGTGCACATGTAATATATCTGTTTTTAACCCATAGTTTGTCGGAGTTTGTCTGGACTTTGGCCGTTTGTTATGTTCAAAGTGCCATGCTTACCAGAGCAATCTCCCGCCACCTTTATCCCCTCCCTCATCATTTGTCAACAATATTTCAGTATTTTGCTCACTTTTCTCCCTCATTTGAGATCTAAAATGTTAGCATTTCAAGAGAAGGGTGCGAACACTTTGTGGCAGCATGCACCAACTAACAGAGCAGATATGCGCGCTTTGAAGGGTAATCCTTATTAATGCAATATTTATACTTTACGAACAACAAAGGAGTAGGAAATGCTTTGCAAATCGGGCACACGAGACTTCACCAAAAAAGAAAAACATATTTTTCTTTTAACGTGCAGTTCAAGTTCAACCAAATGGAGACAATATTGGTTATCACGGTATATGCACATAAAAGTTGTAGTACGTTTGCCTGCCATATCAAAAAAGATATAAAAAGGGCAGCATCTTAAGCTGCCAGGTGCTGAATTTCTGACATAATCTTTATACTTTTATCAAAAACCAACATCAGTGAAGAACTGATTCATGTGTGAAACCTCTCAAAGCCTATACTTCTTGTACTGTTTATTATCTTCAAAAAAGGGAGTTTAACGGTCATTAGAGAAAATATGGAGATGCAGGCCACTTTGTGGAGTATTTATTGAAAAAAATCAACAACTTGGCTGCCTTATTCCCAAAGTTTAAGGCCTTACGCCATTGTTATATGAACTGTATATAGTATAATGTTAAGATATCCAGAGCTTCATCCTTTCATGGCAGCTGTTACTCTCATATTTTAAGTTCCTTTCTCTGTTCTTGTTTTGCATTGTTACAAGATAGACGGGTCCTGCTCATTTCCATTTTTCATACCTTTTTTTAGATGTTTCTTGGGAATGAAATGGAGCTGTTGGTGGCATTTCTTACCAGCCATGGTACCAATTTTTTCCTGCTAGTAGGGCGTTTCATACCCAATTTGCCAGCTGAAGAGTTGAAGTGATTTTCCATGATCTCCTTATAGTTTGCATTTGGTTATGTAACAGCGAAAAATACTACAGCTTAATCTGTGTTTCAGTATGCCACTCTGAACCTTTTCCTACCTGGAACCTTTTACGTTACCCTGGCCGTATGTGGGGTGCAGTGGGTGTTGTGAGGTGCAAAACCGTGTTGTTTATGTAAATGACGTCCAGAATGGCTGAAATGTAACAATTTAAAAGCTCCAGGAACATTTTTCAGGAGTCAGTGTTGTTTTCTGGGCCCATTTTAAAGCAGCAATCCTTCTTGCCCTGGAACTATTTGTGTTTTAACCCTTTGAAGCTAAATAAAGACAGCTGTAAACCGTCTGAAAGATTAACACATTTTGATTTAAGTAATGAGGCGTTGCTAATGGCCATCAACAACATGTTTCTCAGGCTTTAATTATTATCTATAAAATTTTAAATTTCTTCTTTGAAGTGATTTTAATATTGCTGTAGTTTCAAGACTTGCAGAAATTTCTGAATAGCAGGAATAAAAGTTCTTGTTGCTTTTATTTTTGCAACAGGATCGTCTGTCTCACAGAAGCTTCTGAACAAGAGCTTGGTCAACACTCATGCAGTGGGACGTTCCCCTTTACTGTCAACATGTACAATGTGCATGAACTGCACTGATTTGGACTCTCACATCAGAAATGCATTCCAGAAACAAGTAGGGTGAATTAGAGGAAAAAATAGTCCTATGAAAAATTTGATTCTGGGAGAAAACAGTCAGAGTGCGCCTTTACTGTTTGACTGTTGATTTGTTGTTACTGTATTAAATACTATCTTCCAGTAGGAGGTAGTTGAAAGTAAAGTAAACTTTTCTGAGCCCACTTCTCCCCAGAATTTAATTTCCTGGAACTATTTACATCAACTCGGCTGTTTGTTGCATACATTTTGACAGTATGATGGAAATCTGTGCTGTTTATATAAATTATGTGCACACTAATAAGTGGATAAAATGCTTGGAGAATTAAAAAAAAAAATCTGAAATATTTAGGAATCTCTCACCACAAAGCTCCACCATGAATTTTCACCTAAAACGCTGCCCTGCTACCAGAGCCGTTTCTTGGGGTGAATTCCTACCGTGACGTTGGATTTGGTTCTGGTTCCTGCAGTGGAAATGATGAGGGTTAAAAAAATGGTCCCAGAAAACTTCACTGTTACTGGAAAAGGCTGCTGTATTTGAAGCAAACCTTTAGTCATTTTAGTTCGATCCGGGGTCATGTTTGTTGCGATGTTTCAAAAGCATCTTCTGGTCCAAACAGGAATCAGAAATAAAATAAATGGAAATAGGCTGAGATTTCTATGAGCATTTCCATAATTCATAAAAACCCTTCACTAGCAACAACAATGAATGGAGATGCAAAGATTTACGTGTCGACTGGTTTGTTTATGGGAAAGAAGTGATGAATCGGCAACTGGTGGGTTTGAACCGAAGAACCAACTCCATAAGTTATTGGCTACATCCTTATTGATGAAAACAAAAATTGCTACGCTGTCCTTTCAATTGTGAGATGTTTTTAGTTTTTTTGCACTCCCAGGCTAGAGAATTTCAACGGCATGGAGAAGGTTTTGCAAACCAGGAGGACCAACAGGTTCTTGCATGAGCTTCCCGGAAATAATGTTTGTGCAGATCCAGGCCTCATTTTCATGCCAAAGACGATCCGTTTCAAGAATCATAAGAGATTATTCCACACAGAAACACTCCGCGTTTAGCATCCACAACTCAACAGGAAAGTGGGGCAGCATCAGAGATTTAAGAGTTCTTCTGTACAGTTTGTAAAATAGTGAAATGGTCACTGTCCTATGTTTTATAGGTAACCATGGACCTGAAAGCATGTTGAAACCATCACTGCTAGCCAGGTAGGCTCTGTGATACAGTAGGATGCTTGCTTCAGTTTTTCGGCTATATTGTCAATGTTGTAAAAGTCATGTTTAAGCTCCATCTGTAAATACGATAGATACATAGAGATTCGATGTATCCAGACACTATATTATGGCCATTAATCTAGCTAAGTATGTGCCATCGAAAAGAAAAAAAGAAGCTTAACAGATTTATAGTTGGCAAGATACTGTATGTTGTGTGTTACATTTCTGGCTCAATGTGTCGTAACAGTAATGCTGTCTGGTCTCGCTTGCTGATTTTATTTGACTATTTTTAATATTATTTTTGGTCTTTATACTCAAAGATAAATAGGTCTCTGCAGTTGCAGAAGTGATGTGTGCTGTGAGCAGGATCATTAGCATGGTATGTTAAGAAAAAAAAGTTGTGATACTGTTAGCTGGTTGCAGACTTCTCTGTGACATTGTGCTCAAAGTTCGTCAGCAGACACTGGAGAAAAAACAAAAAACAAAAAAAAAGTTTCAACAAACTTTGGAGGTTCACGTTATTGCACTAAATTTTTACGACACATGGCTTTGTCACACCTTTATGGAGAAAAATAATAAATTATGATGGGTGCCCGCTTAGAAAAAGAATAAAAGGAAAGAAAAATATTTTTTATGACAAGATGAGTAAGGAAAATAAGTGGATTGTCAGAAAATGACTAATTGTCTTGTAGCAAAATGTGCATTAATCTCAGTGAGATACACGTTTCTTACTCGTTCTCATACATGAGAATACAAAGCATTGAGGGGGGAAAAAAAAGCTAGAATAACCTTTGAAAACCTACATGCTCATTATGTTGATAAATGATTGTATACACGCATGTGTGATGACTTCTGTTGTATATTCTTGGTAACCACTGTCTACTGTGATGTAGGCAGGTTCTGTTAACCAGACTGGCAGTGCTAGTTTCATGAGTTACTTTACATTTTATTATTATTATTTTTATTATTATTATTATTATGTGTGACTGTGCTGTTTACTAAGTTAATGTTTTTCTGGATTTTTTTTTCAATTTGACGTTTTCCTATTTTGATAAATGCATTTGTGAAGAAACATGTTTTCTCTTAATTACCTTCTTTAACAACATGGCACTGATATTTGACTTTAAATGAAGGAAATGCACCTCTTTATGATTACAGCAGCTCCATCAAGCAGTGACTCTTGACTCTTTACCTTTTACTGACCCGACCCTGTTTGACTATCGTGTCCGTTTCTACCAGTAGAAGAAGAAGAAAAAAAAATCAACCCTCCTCTGTGTTGTTGTCTGGTGTTCTGCTTAATGTACAGTAGCTTGTTAATATTGCAAACGCGTTGTTTCTTTTTCAATGGAAAGTACTCACTGGTGAGATTTTTAAAGTGGTTTTAAAAGCCAATAAACTTTTTTAAAGAATGTTGGTGTCTGTTTAAGTGGCGATTATTTAAAATTTGAAGCTTTTCATCCTATAAAAGACTAAAAACAACTTGAATTTTCAATAAAGGGAAGTATAAGTCTGTAAGACATTTTGATTATCAAGTTATTTCATCAATTGCGTAACCTATGCCAAAATTATATTAACATTTTTTAATTATTTTTTTAATTTTTGCTTTCTAAAAACAGAAACATTGTTGTTATATTTTGCATAAAGACATTTTATGCAAAATACTGAGAAAAAAGTAAAAAACTTTAAATGAAATTAATCTTTTATTAAAGCAACACTGAAAAATGCAGAAAAATCTTAGATTTTAAGACATTCATTCAACTGTTTAAACTAACGAGCCAAATTACCAAAGCTATAGTTAATGGTATCCTTGCAGTTGATACTTTTAACTCCTTTTTCCTAAGATGACACTTACTCCTCTATCACATTTCACAGGGTTGCATCATTCAAAGAGATGCTGTCTTCACCCTTCTCCCCTTTCCTCCAGACTTCTGGCTCATTTGATTTCCTCTCTTCTGTTCAGCTAAGAGGTTTTCTATACTCTTTCGGATCAATTACCAATGGAAGCTGGTTGATTGTTTTGAGTGTTGAGATGTTTCTGTTGATCTGGCCATCTTTGATCGGTGACATTTTGGAAAACTGGATGTTTTTCGAAATTTCCTGGATGCTGAAAGAGTGATGAACTAAGAGAAATAAGCCACAGCATCAAAATAAACCTGGTGTATTTGTTGCTGAAGAGGTCAGTCTTGGCCTCTTCAAAGCACATGATTCTCAGTAGAGTGTCACAAACATTAGACTCCACATGCTAATGTTTGTGATGGTAAGATAAGAAAAAATATGTATTTCTTGTTTAATTTGTAAACAACCAGTTAATAGCGTCCAATAAGGATGATGCTTTTAACTGTCATCCTTATTGTCTTACCAATCACCAAGACTTGAAGATTGTTAATTATTATCTTGACTGGAAGTTGAAGTAAGTGGCTGTTTTCTTCCGTATATTACAGAAAATCTTGTCATGTTCTCTAGTCTTTCCCATTTGTGTGACCAGTATAAATGTCTAAACCAAGTCATATTTATACTTAAAAAACACAGTCATTGATAATTAAATAAAGCTTTGGGGACACAAAATATTAACTTGCAATGTATGAATTTTAAAAATACTTAAGGTAAATTTATTTCTAAATAATTATTAAAGGTGACAATTACCTTTTTCACATGTTTTTTTACTTGTTTGTTTCTTTTTTTTTTGCCTGAATATACTACATGTCTGCATGAATATACTAAATTTCAAGATTGATCTAAATGTTTTCAATGAAGGGTCTCACATAGAGGCTGCTGTAACACTATTTGTTTTCATCACAATATTATAACACAAATATTTGTTTGATTTAAGGCAAACACCACACATTTTTAGTTTTTGCCCAGTCAAAATTATGCAAACTCCTAAAACCTTTCCATCTCCTTCTTAAGCTAAGGTTAGAGGTCATCTCCTAAAGACGAGCCCTGGCCAATCAGAGGCAAGCTAGCAAGTCCGCTGCTCTGCTTTCCCAGGGCCCTGCGGTATTCATAACATGCTAATGACCTTAACCCTATTGATTGTGGCCGAACAGCCGGACCTTCTGCCATGTGGACCCCGGTCGTTCCCTGAGCCAAGGTTTAGCCATCTGATTCAGGAAAACTTTATGGCTTTGTCACATTTTCAAATTACTGTGTGTCAATAATCACACAATCTAGTTGTGAGGCAAAGCAACTACAAAGACGTGGTGTTTTCTGAGTAAAAAACAGAATAAAAAATACAGCTGTGGAAAACTGAAGAGCCCACTGCACTGAACCCCATTGAAAACCTTGTTATTCCATTCTGAACTCTTCCTGAGTTAAAAAAACATTAGTATGGTTGTTTCTAAAGGGACATGAACTTGTTTTCTTTGCATTATTTGATGTCTGAAAGCACTGCATAGTTTTCCTTATTTTGACCATTTCTCATTTGTTTCAAATAAATACTAGATTTTTGCTTGTAATTATGGAGACATGTTGTCAGTAGTTCATAAAATAAAATAACAATGTTCAATTTAGTCAAGCATATAGCTATAAAAAAAATAAAATCTGAGAAACTGATAATTACAAGTGGTATTTAAAAATTTTCCAGAGCTGTATATGCATGTGGTTTTAGAAAAAAATAAAGCATTTGCTTTTTAGATAATGTGGCATACATATGTTAGTTTGCAAGTTCACACACATGCATTGAGATTAAACTAATTGCGATATGATTTTTTTTTTTAATTATTTGTCAAAGTATAAAATTTTTGACAAAATCATTACAAAATCTTAACCACCGACTAAGTACATTAACAAATCCTATCACACTGACAACCAGTTTTGGAGCCTTAAATTATAACTATAAGGCTTAGGATGATTAAATCAATACCCCGCTGTAATCAATATATAATTAAACTCTGCTCTTCTCATTTGATTGCATATTGAATCTTGGAGGTGCAGGCCTGGAGCTACAATCTGTTCAAATAATTTAGGGAAGTGTGGTGTATGTAATATGAGGTCTGGGAGTGAGGACTTTATTTACCTGTAGCAGTGTGCTGGTGTTTTGCTGATGCAGCATGGCTGAGCTCCCAGCTGGTTCTCATTGTAATGCTGCTGAATGAAGCCTCTGAAAGAGGAGGGTCATTGTCAAAAGGCACGGTCGCTGGATCAATATCTGAATTCATTAAGCAGCTGACCTACAGCTATCAATATCTCTTCATAATTACCAGATTGTGCAGCATAGGCGAGCAGATGCGATGCAGACCTTTTTACGTGCTGGTAGCTGATAATTCACTTTGCTTACTGAAATTAGATGTGCAAAATATCTACAAGATAGAGATCACAATCTAATCAAGCTATGTGCTGCATGACTCAAAATCAGATTTCTATATGAGCACCTTTATTGGTAATATCTGTAGCACACTACATGACTGCTTACTATAGAAGGCATTTCAGATTATTTTCAAAAATCCAATCCATTTCAGTTCAGTTTGGCCAATGGCTGCATGGTACAAAATGACATGTATTTGAGTTATCAAAACTAATTAGGACGCATACAAATTGTTTGAAAAAATTGGAGAACTGGGTCTAATAAAGCAAAAAGTTCAATTTTACTTTCTTTATGCACCTTAAGTAGGTATCCTCCTATGACATAAACATTTAGGACAAACGACAACAAAAAATACTTGATCTTCTGTATGATTCTATAGAGCCTGTTAGTTTGTGTTCTCAAATACCCACTACTAAAAATAATCAGCTGAAAGAAGCCTGGGTAACAGCAGGCAGTGATAAAGACAAGTTGGAAAACATCCCTGAAAGTTGGATGTCTTTTTTTTTTACTAACCTTAACCTCAAAATCTAATATGTTTACATCAGATACATGTTTTTGTAGAAATTAACAGTTTATTTGTGTTTCTGTCAGTTCATAGCTCATTAAGTCACTCAAAAATAGTAGGACTGTACATTTATGTTGGTGAGCTTGTTGCTGCAGTCTTTAAAAGCGTAGCCAGCCTGTTTATTCAGCTGAAAAACTAGCAAAGATGTAATTTCCACGTCCAAGTTCTGAATTTGGAGGTAAGTGTAACATATTTATTGTAAGACCATGTTCTCATTGGTCACTTTAGATTTTGCACACAGAAAAAAATCTGTGTGCATGAACAAGCTCTCTTTGTAACTAGTTATGCTAATATTTTAACAATCCATACCAAATCTTCACTTTAAGTGCTGCTAAATACAATTCAAGGGCCAGCAATGGCAGTTTGAGAACCGTACTGTTAGCACGTATCCTTGCTAATATGTTACTTTGCAAGCTTCTCTAAGGGAGGTTGCACAATATTGAGTATAATTTCTTGAAGTCAAAATCCTCGAAACTGCAAATAAACTGCTTAACATTGCCTAATTTATACATTATGAGAGTTTCAGACCAGGCTGGAGGAAACCTTTTTACTTGTTCACTTAAACATTTAGTCTTTTTCCGGCCCCCAACATTTCAAAATTTTACATTTGGAAATGTCAATGAATAATGATGAATATAGTACCCTCAAAGCCCCAAATATTGTTTTAAAATATCAATAATCTTTTGTGAGCTTTTAAAGATCCTCTGAAATGATGTTTGTTTGTTTTTACTAACAAATGTACAATGATATTAAAAGGCTGCTGTAATATGACCAACAAAAACCTCAATGAAGAAAAAAAGTATCACGTCCTTTAAGCTGTTTCTATATCAGCGTTGCACATAAGAGACAACAATTTTGAATTATTTTTATTTTTACTCATGTTTAATGGAAGGAATTTGTCTTAACTAGCAGTTTAAATCTAGATAGAAAGATAGATAGTTCCATGTGGAATCCCTCTTGGCTCTGTTTTGAATCTTCTGCGCATGTGCGAGAGGGCGGGGCCTGCTCCGGTTCTCCTCCGTCACAGCCGTTGGTGCTCCGCGGTTGGCAGAAGGGATAGAGCGGAGCAGCGGGACGCACGCGGGGCACCGACGGCTCTCCGAGGGGAGAAAATGACCCAAATATCTGGATAAATGGCGAAGTTCAAGATGAAGTCCAGTCAGCGGTGGCTTATATTTGTTTTGTTTCTCCCTTTATCATGTAAGTTGTGTGTGTGTGTGTTTTTTTTATTGTATCGTTAATGGTGTTTTGCAGCTAATTGGTTTGGGTTGTCATATTATGACCCGTATGTCATATTTCTCTAAAGATGGGAAATTGTTCTGACTAAAATGAATGTGGAAGTTTGGATTTTATTTAAATTGAGCAATTAAAGTTTTATTTCTCTGGGAAAGTTCACTTTTAGCTTATTTATGATAATGTATTATTATTGTGAATAGTAGTAGTACTGTCAATTTGTATTTAAATAAATGCATGAAACAAACATTAATGATATATTGTAGTCTCCTCTAAATCTAGTACATGGTTATTATGTCTTAACATGAACTAATTTAATCAAAATCTCTGAATGGTGTTGTTTGTGATGCCTTTATTCTCCTTTTGTATTTATTTTTTATTTTTTTGCTAATGTTTCCATTCTCTCGCCCTTAGGTGTTTTATGCTTTAGTGAGCTGTCCTTCATCACTGAGCCCAGTGATGTTACAGTACTACCAAAGGATTCTGCTGTGTTGGACTGCCAGGCTCATGGACAGCCTCCAGTCACCATCAAGTGGCTCAAAAATGGAGTTAAGTTGGCAGAAAGTGAACACTTAAGGTTTCTGCCTAATGGCTCCTTGTCCATACCAAAGATAAAGCATACCAAGGAGGATTCAGATGAAGGATTCTACCAGTGCCTCTCCCAAAACAAATATGGAGCAATCCTAAGCCAAAGATCACGTCTGACTATCGCAAGTAAGTGTTGAAAGTAAAAAAAAAACAAAAACATTTTGTGGTTGTTTGCACTCATCTTTGCTGATGTTTAAGCATCGGGGTTGAAGTGCATGGAAGATGGGAAGCAGATGTACCTCTTTTTTTGCATTTTGTAACAAAACCTTTAAAACCAAAGTTTCCATCTTGTTAGGTCATTTATAGGAGCATTTAAGAGATTGTTAAATATAGAAGGGGAGTCCATCCAAAAGCTCATAAATGCTCTATAAATAGACAGCCTATAGCTTGTGTCCTCTCACTGTTTTTTTCTGAAGAAGAGCACTACTTATCCTGTGTTTGAATGTAATATATAAATATCAGTAAAAAGTACAAAACTTTTTCAATCTTAGAGATTAAATCTGTTTGGGATTGTTGCAGGCTATGGTTCTTTGTAACAGCAGAATGGCCTGCAACACTGAGGAATTTGTGAATGGACATTTGCCTTTCAGCTTTTGTTTGGAGTGCCCCTGACTGGTCCACAAGAAAAGACTAGATTTCGGGGGGTTTGTTTGTCCACATATCAGTGGACAAGACAGCTGCAGCTATTCAATGAGCCTGGTCTACCGTGCACACTTTTCAAGAGTGTAAGGGAGAGGATATCCCATGGCTGCTGTCATGGAGACTAGATTCAGTGAACTGATTTTGACTCTGCCACGTTTTAGAAAAATATTCTAATGCTCTATATTCTAAAAATTGTTTTAATTAATTATGGGAAAAAGCTGAAGAACATTGATATGCATATTGGTATATCATAGAGAAAACAAAATTGGTGTGTATACTAATATATGTAGTTTTTATTATTTCTCACAATTTTTTACATAGCAACAAAAAAACCTTTTTAGTTTTTGGTATATTGACCAAAAATAATACCAAATTCAAGTTTGAGCCATTCTCATTCAGTGAAAGGGTTAAAGGTTGTCGGTCAGCTGGAGTGGGAGAGTGGAGGATGGGACTACTCTGCGCTCCCCTTCTGTCCAGAGGTCCCAGGGGTCGGGGGTCAGCGCTGGAAAGGCTTTGTGATGTCACAGGCGTGCTGTGGCTGGGGAGCCCCCCCCTGTTGTTCCTCCCACCCTTCAGTCCTTTTCACCGGATCAGGCCCTCTGTTGCCCTGTCAAGGTCGGTGCTTTTGTTGAAGGAAGGCCAGTTTGTCATTGGAACTAAGGGCCCTGACTCTCCACAGTGAGATAAGAAGTTTAGGCTTTTTCAAACACTTTTTGCAGCCATGTAAAGTTCTCCTCTGAGTGGTTCTCCACATTTATGATGTTAGATCAGCATAAAATCCTTGGATATGTACAAAAACAGCAGCTAAATGTATGATTTACCACTACCTTACCATAAGCTGTAAAATGTTATGTCCACATGAAAGAATATTAATAACATTCAAATCAGGACCAATTTCTAGGCCAATCTTTTCCGTCTTCCAACTGGCACCAGTTTGAGGTGATTTTGAGTGGATTGGGGGTTGAGGTGAACTTTGACCTTTTCAGGGAAGCCTTTGTACTGCTCAGCCTAGACATTGATTTGTTCTCTTCAACAGAAGTGACCAAATTAGCAGTTGGGACCCACCCATCACCTGCATCATCAGTCCCAGTTGGTCAGCTACATATCATTTTTAATTTTCTACTACTTATGGTGGACTTTATAATGTTCACCAATCAGTCAAGTTTTGAATAGAAAGAATCCCAGGCTGTTTATGTCTCAATTTTCTGCTCTTGTATGTAAATAAGAATTTTTTTTTGTACAAATATGGAAGAAATACTGTCAAATCCATCTGTACAAGGCTCAAATCTTAGGTCTTAGTTCCACTCATGAGCAGGATTAACATTTATTTTGTCTAATATTAAATTCTAAATGAAATCAGTGCTCTGTAGTTTTGTTATCTGCATGCTTGGGGTTTAAATGTGGAGTTTCAGTGGGAAAACAAGAGTATTGATCTTCTATAACATGATATTGACTTTCTCTCTTTGAGTGAAGGGGGAGGGGAGGAACTTATCACCTTAATGAATGAAGGTCATTGATCATATTGTATTGAGTTGGCCCACTAAAATGTAGGTAGGGGGTTGCTTTTCTCTAGTGACTGCTGAGGGAATTTTTTTGTACGTGCATTAACAAAATATGACTTTCAAATTGTCCTAGCTGTAGTTCACCTATATTTCAAAAGTTTTAAGGTTGAATTATTATAACTTAAATTAAATACATCATTTTTTAAATCTTATTTAATGCAGAAATCACAATAGGAATGGGCAATTATCAAATTATCTGTTGTTTTATTGTAAAAAAAAATAATACTGACAATTGCAAACTCCAAAATCAGATGTAAGACTGACTGAGTTTGTAACTTTCATTATTTGAACAATTTTTAGTTCCAATAGATCATCAAAAAAGGTTGTATTTTTTTCAAAATATGATCGAAAGCAATTAATCTGTAATGTTTAGCACCAATGAGAGCAAATATTTTAGTGAAAATCTTCACTAAAAACAGCTCAAATGTTTGAGCAACATTTGAGCTGTATGACATGTAAGATTTACAACAAACAATTTATTAACTTTTACTCAGTTTACAAATACATTTTAGATTTTAAGTTCTTTCTTTGTTTTTTATTTAAATTCTAGATATATCTCAGTAATGTCATCCAGATTGTACAGGTCTCAGATAGGATTTGAAATATTAACATGGGAGTAAAGTAAGAAAATAAAAATAGAAAGAGAAAGCATGTTCTCCCTATAAAAAGTGTTCCCTGCCAAGCAAAAATGTAATTGGAAAAGGAAAAGGCAGTGTTGCCTTCCATCTACGTTGCCTGTAAATATGGTTGAAAAGACAAAAGGTGGAAAACTATCCATATAAGAAATTCAATATTGCTTAATGTAGCTGCTTGCAATGCTTTTTAAGCAAAGCGGATTGATTAGTTTTTATCTATAATGATGCATCATTCACTGTCATTCTTCAATTGATCCATGGATTGGCCAGCTAGTCACAACGGGGAAACTGTTCATCATCTGCACAAAAGCAGGTGGTGTCCTAAAGAGATCATTTTCTCTCATAAGATCAGAACATCCATCAAATTTAAGCCATGGTTTGCACAAACAAAGTATTGCACATTTTAAAATTAGAGTGAGAGTGACTAATAGTTATTCGATGGTGAAACATCTATTTGTTGTTGTCACAGGTATCACAGAGTTTGAGTCGCATCCCGTGTCCTTAGTGGTATCTGAAGGTTCAGTGGCACGATTCTCCTGCGCTGTCACGTCCAGTCCGCCTGCCACCATCACCTGGGAGTTTAACCAAAGCACCCTGCCTCTCCAGACGGACAGGTTCATGCATAACACTGATCTTCTTTTCACAGCAACATGCTCCTCTATTTTCTCTAGTTTGACCCTCATTTTACTTTCTCGTCTTCCCAGACTTACGGTTTTGCTGAATGGAGTTCTTCAGATTCATAACGTTCGTCTGGAAGATGTTGGAAGGTATCGGTGTGTTGCTACTAACATCGGCAGCCGTTTAAAAAGTAGAGAAGCCACACTCACAGTTCACAAAGGTAAAGTAATTGCATTAACAGAACTTCCACATTGAGGACAGGTAATTTAATGTCAACATTTCTGCTTCTTAATGAAGATGGAGGCCGTAAACCACCCCAGAGACCCAGAATCATCGCTGGACCTCAAAACGTAACAGTGTCCCTACACCACACTGTGGTACTGGAGTGTGTGGCCACAGGCAACCCCTCACCCATCATCTCCTGGAGCCGAGCCGACAGTAAACCCATAGATGTTTACAACGCCAAAGTACTGGGAAATGGGAATTTGGTTATCACTGACGTTAACGCGAAGCACAGTGGAGTCTACCTCTGCAGGGCCACCACGCCTGGAACACGCAACCACACGACTGCTGCAGCCAACCTCACAGTTCTAGGTATCGTTATCTCTTTAGTTGTTGAGGCAGACATAAACTCCTCTGGCCACAGTTTATGTCTATTTGTAGAACTCAGATGTGGGGAGAGTACCAAAAAAAATTATACTCTAGTAAGTGTAGCATCACTTCAACATAAAAATACAAAGTAGCCATCCAAGAAATGACTAAAGTTACATTTCCAAAAGTAAGAATAGTAATACATCATAATTGCTCAAGTAAAAGTAAAATGTACAGCATAGCAAAAATACTCCTAGTACTTTTTTTAAAGTAAATCCATCTTGTTATAACTGTAATACTGCATAAGCCATGATATAATGGAACATGTTAACTTATTTCTAGTGAATTCACACAAAATCTGCCTTATAAGCAGATTTATTGTTTAGCTGGTAAGAATTAGACTCATTAGTTTTCTGATGTACATCTGTTTCAGTGCCACCTACCATCGTTGAGAGACCTGAGAGTCAGACTCGTCCACGAGCCGGCACTGCCCGCTTCATGTGCCAGGCAGAAGGAGTTCCCCCACCTCGCATCCGCTGGCTGAAGAACGGGGAAGAGGTTCACCTAAATGGGAGAATAAAGATGTACAACAGGCATGTTGCACTGAGATGGTCAGATGCTTTCATCCAGGGGTGTCCTAACGTTTTGCAAAATGGGCCACAATCCCAAAGTTAAAAATATACATGGCGCATATTGTTTTTCTGACTTGGAACAGTTTTTTTTTTATATAAGTTCATCAACAAAATTAAACATGTATTATTTTAATAAAACAAAATGACATCTATTTTTGTCATAAGAAAAGGTGGACAGTTTTATAACTTTTTGGTTTATTTGATCGACAGAATCTTTTAGTCTATCCCAGCAACAAAAAAACAAAAAAAGTGTCTTTTTTTAAAGTAAAAAGTTGATTGATGTTTATAGCTACTTACAAGAAAATAAAAATTAAAAGTACCTAACACTTTCCATTACAGAATAATTAAATTTAATTCTTGTGCTAAGAAATTATAAAATGTTCCCACTGGGAGCTCAAATTTGTAGTATTCTTGAACTGCAGTCGGGGGGCCACACAAAGATAAATGCACTATTCTTTTCTGATGTTTCTCTTTCTTCATTCACAGTAAACTGGTGATCACCCAGATTATCCCTGAAGATGACGCCATCTATCAGTGCATGGCAGAGAACGAACAGGGTTCTGTGCTGTCCTTGGCTCGCCTTATTGTCGTCATGTCTGAGGACAGGCCCAGTGCACCGAGGAACATCCATGCTGAAACCATTTCAAGCTCTGCCATCTTACTGGCCTGGGACAGACCGTTGTACAATGCAGACAAAGTGATAGCCTACTCCATCCACTACATGAAGGCCGAAGGTGAGACTGAGATAAAGATGGTAGTCCTGGACTATGAGGGACGAAAGTGTGAAAAGTCGCAAGATCACATTCAGCTGTAGTGAAATTGACCTCCCTTATGTGTTACTAGTTGTGTTGTAGAGGACCATCTGTTCGGGCTGCACAGGGCAAAGGTCAAGGAGGACTCAGAATGGCAACTTTACTTAAATAACAACAGGCCTAGTCGATGTATTTGTCCATTCCCGCAGCTCATTCTGAACTCCCCTCAATGGACAGTGTTGCCTCTGAACATACATTTTTACTAACTACAAATGTAGGAAGATAAATCTTAGCCCTGAAATGATCAATTGCATTGCAATTGTTACCAGAGAATGCAGCCTCAAAACAGACCAACATATATAGAGGAGCAATTAAGCCAAAACTGTAAAAAAAAAAATTCATTTTGCACTTGTCTGTAAATATGTTTTACACAGAACTCCTTAAGTGGAATAGTTTTAGCTACAACTGGCTCATATTCTGTAAAAAACACAAAATATCCCATTAATCACCTTTTGCTATCTAATTATTAACCGGTTAATGCAAAGATTTATCAATCTATAAATGATAATGCGTGCAGAAAAGGAATGCTATGTTGTTGCATTTTAGGCAATAAAATGTTCATTCACTTATTTATAAAGGGAACTGAATTACTTATTTGCATCTTTTAATGTATTTTGAAAATTGTTTAAAGAAAGGTTTAATGCAGATTGTGCCATTTGTATCCAGTAAATTGATTACTAGTCTGAATAATCGATAGAATAGTCAATTTCTACAATAAGTTTCTACAATAGTTGCAGTCCTGGATATTTCACATACCACTCTCTATATCTATTACACAGAAACGCTATAAAAAGAAGAAGTTTAATCAAGAAGTTAAAAGAAGTTTATCAAGTATTTCTGAGGATCTCCATTGGAAATTTCGTCTCTTTTAAAAGCTGTAAGTCATAACTTAAATCTGTTTGCTAAGATACTGTGCAATTTATTGTATTTCAGGTCTGAACAACGAAGAGTATCAGGTTGTCATTGGCAATGACACAACCAGCTACATCATCGATGACCTTGAACCCGCTCGAAACTACAGCTTCTACATCGTGGCTTATATGCCGATGGGAGCAAGTCGTATGTCCGACCAAGTCAGTCAGCATACTCTGGAAGACGGTAAGTGCGTTCTGAGATTTTTAGCAACAAATCGCTGCAGCTGTTGAGCTACACGCCTGTGATGATTGAATCTGAAGCTTTACAAACTGATGTCCTGCATGTTTGCAGTACCTCTGCGTACTCCGGAGCTCACGCTGACCAGTCACAGTTCAACCGACATCCATGTGAGTTGGCAGCCTCTGCCTGCCAAGATCAGCCGCGGGCGAGTGTTGGCCTACAGACTCTCCTACCGCACGGCTGTGGACGACACCATCATAAATATGGAGCTACCACAGAACGGCACCGAATACCTGCTAGAGGGCCTGCAGCCTGACACTATTTACCTGCTCCGTATTGCTGCAGCCACGCGTGTGGGTTGGTGTGAGCCCTCACCGTGGACCTCACATCGTACACCAAAGATCTCAAGCAGCAAAGGTAATCCTGCCAAAAGACAGACTAAAATATGAAATTGGTTCACCTTTTATGGCTTTATGTAACAGCTTTGCTTATATTTCTAATCAAGAAAGTATTCAAATTTGAATTCAAAGGGAGATATCTTATACAAAGCTTGCTTTATTTTTTCTTTGTGATGTTTCTGCCTCTTTGGTTTTGGAAAACCAGGAGGTTGACCAGACGTCGTGCCTGGTGTTTGGCATATGATTAGTTTGCTCTTGTAGCATTGTCCCATACTCTTTGTGCTGGTTCCCCACAAACCTTTGGCTCCCGGGCTGTCAGGGATGTTAGAGTGGCCTCTGTCACGGATCATAAAGATCGCAAGATCACATAGGCCTCTACGAGAGGGAAAGAATTACCCATTTTAATGACATACTCGGATGGGGGAGGTTTTTGTCCTCCAAAGTAACATTTTATCTGAAAAAGTTGTTAATATTCAATAGCCTTCGTATTTTGGTGAAGTGCAGAAATGATTTCTACTGTACCAGTCTTGTAGATTATTAAATTTTTTGGTTTTTGAATATTCTTTTTTCACCAATTAGCTTCTCATTTCATTAGAATAGTTCACTTCACCCAGAGCCACCACTTTGTTTGGCAAGCGTGTTTTACAACTTCTGTTTATTTGGACTTTGAGTGACTTTAAGTTGGTCCTTCAAGTCCAAATGACAATGAAGTCGTAATAATACAAGACTTAATCAGAATAAAGTTGTGATGTTAGGAGAATGAAGTAGTAATTTTATAATAAATCTAACATGTAATATAACAAAAAAATTTATGAGAAATGTTGAGCATCTTGTGAAATTACACTTTTGATATCAGTTTTACAAATAAGGAAAAACAATCTTTTAACACATCAGCATCAAATTGTTATCAGTAGCAGGACTTTGAAACGACTGAGTTTATTTTGATGATTCTAGAAGTTTTTTTCTCATAATGCAACATTTTCTTGTAATGTCAAGATGTCCTGGTAGAATTGTGTCTATTCTGCTAATTGTATCACTATATTCTGGTAATTGAAAAAAAGAATTCTCCTACTACTCTGTCATCCAACTCACAGAAGGGATGATTGAAATAAAATCCACTTTCTGAATATATTTTTTGCCAGTTGTAATTCTTTCTTACAAGAGAGAACAAGAGATAAAAAAAAATCTGATTTTATCTTTATGCCACATTGTTCATCTCTACCTTGTAGTTTGTGATTGTCTTTTTTCTTGAGCTCTGTTAAAATCTACAGCTGATCTCGTGTTTCCTCTGTCTGACCCCTCTCAGTGCCTCCAGCCCCTGTTTTGCAACTTGAGGCACTTAACTGCACCTCTGTCAGAGCACGTTGGCACACCTCCCCAGATCCTGTGGCGGTTCTGGGTTTCCGGCTGTGTTACCACGAGGAAGGCCAGCCGGAGCAGCCGAGCATCTTGCTGCAGGCTGAGACTTACATCCACACAATTGGTGGCCTTGGTGAGTAGAGACATAGGCTTAATTTAGCTACTTTTTGTGACTTTCTGTCAATTAAACGGAGAGTGAGTGATGCGTTCTCACTTAGATGGATCTTTTCTGCATGACCTAATTTGATTCAGTGGGCAGTTGGATGCTGCATTTGCATTCTGGGCCTCTGTCCTGATCAATATGGGCTGACCTCTCTTGTCTAACCCGGAGACTTCCCCCAGTTTTGCCTTAGTGTTGTGTGAAATCAGGCTCACAGGGTTAGAGGTCAGTAACCAGATGTCCCTCCCACCACCGATTCCCATCCCCAGGTTTGCCTAATTATGCATAGCCATTGTGTTTTGTCCTGGGCCAGATCTGCTCTGTTAGGACCGGTGCCACTACCTCCCTTCAGCTGGATGCAAACAAAGACCCCAGGGATAGACCAGAGCTGGACCGAGCCACTGACCTCTAGCTATGAGACAGCAGACTTGGCTTTAGCTCCCTGCCCCCATTGGTCATCTGTGCTGTTCATGTAAATAACCAGCAGCTTCTCCATATGCAACATCAACCAGAACTAGACTAAGAGAAAGAATAAGACACCATTTGCAATTTGTTGTCCTTAAATCTGAATGTACCAGGGTGTTTGTGCATTTGTAAGAAGTCTTAAAAGCAAAAATAAAGGCTTTGTAAATGTTTTAAATTAATTTAAAAAGTGAGTTGGGCTTATTAATCATGTCCTTGGCAGGACTCACTTAATTGTGAGTTTGTGCAAATTTATTTCCTTTTGGCTGGATGATGTTGGTACATTTCTATGGAGATACAGGACTAAAATCCCATTGATAATGGTCTGAGAAAGGTCTTAAATCTGAGTGGTGAAACCTGCAGAATCCCTTTATATTGCTCAGTTCTGACCACCCCAGTAGATTTTCATTAAATTTAGAAAGTATTAGATATTTTTTTGTCAGTAATCACCAATCTAATAGTCTTTTGTTTCATATTTAATACATCTCCTTCTATGCTGTTGCATCAAGTTTAATGTTGTAATCAAGGCCAGTGGCAGAGGGGAGAGAGAATGGGAAAGAAGGGAACAAAAGGGGCCCACCTCCCATCCCACAACCTTACGCCCAGATTCCTTCTGTTCCATGTTGGCCTGGCTCGGTGACCCCAATAAAACTCCCCTGAAGTCCCCTGGGCCCAGGATCCCAGCAGCTGAGCACTGCCCATGGCCCAGCCCTCAGACAGGCCTGGACACTCTGCTGTCATTGGTCAATACCTTCAGGCTGACCTTTCACACTAGAGGCATAAAGCAAACCCAGTGCTCTTTAAAGCATCCTGATTTAAGGTCTTGGCTGGTGGTAGTTTTTCAAGTTGAAACATGTTTTTCAAGCCTGTTATGTATAATACTTCCTTTACTGTTGTGGATTCCATGTCTTCATCTATTGCTGTTCCTGTGACATTTTATGATTTTTTTTTACATGTTTCATTGGTGGAGCTTTTGGCTCTCTGATCTTTCTCATGCTCCTCTCAAAGAACAGCACATGACAAATGAGAGGTTGGGCTAACAAAGGAGGCCATGTATTGTCCATACTCGGCCACTTAATGACCTGCTAAATCGCATGGTCTCTCGCTTTTTTGGCTTAATTTTCTTGTGTCCGTCTTCTTTATATTGCTCTGCTGCTTGTTAGTAATTTGATGGGCTTTCACCGATTTTTGCACAAAAGCTTCATTGTTGTTGTCTGGCATCGCTGGGCTTTTATCTAGATAGACTTAGCTATTTTTTTGTTTGCATTTCAGATCCAAGGAGAAAATACCATGTCAAAATTCTGTCTATCAGCAAAGTTGGAGATGGTTATCAGACAGACCGAACAATTAGCACTCCAGGATGTGTTTGTAAGTAAAACCATTCAGACAACAACTCTGTCTGGATCTTCTACTCATCTTTTTTATTTAATTAAACGCGATTTCTGTTTGAATCATTCAGCGGCCAGAGACCAGTCGTCCGCAGCTCCTCCCCCTCCACATCAAGTTACTGTATTGACCAGCAATTCATCCACGATGTCCCTTCGGTGGAGTCGGCCTGCTTTTTCCTCCGGAAAGGCTGTTAGCTACACAGTCCGCTGTACGCCTGTGGGCACACATGATGTCTCCGCCATCCGCTACATACAAACGTAAGACTTTCCCTGCAACAAACGATTATTTCAGTTATCAATTAATCTTATCGATCAGTCAAATAAAGAAATTGGCACATTCTTCAGATTTTTCATTTAAGCCTTTTTATTGATTATTAGGAATACACGAAAAGATGCAAGTAAACAAATAACTAACTTCCTTTTTAAAAAATGTATATGTATTTTGTCACTTAAAATGGAATAACATAACATTTTTGTGTGTATACTTAATTATTTGTAGCAGTTTACTCGTCAGTCTGTTTATTATTTTCGGTTTAACCGATTAATAAATGGGCAGCAACAGGTGCTTAATACCAGATTTTTTTTTTTTTACAGAATTTAAAGCTAAAATGACACTTCAGGAATTTTGATTAGAACATATTTACAGACAGGAGTTTTTTTTTTTAATCTTAAATGCAAAATGTATTTATTTTTGCAGTTTTGGCCTAATTACTGCTCTGAATATGTTGCTCTTTCAGCAAATGTCATTTTATTTTAGTTTGCTTACTCTAACAATTAATTGATTACTAAACCATTTTGTTGCAGTTAATCTGATTAATCGTTTCAGCGTAGAAGAAATACATCTCATGTTTCCTTAAAATGTAATTAATAACGTGCTAGGGATGATTGTTTTTCTTCACAGAACCAAGCAGAGTGTTATGGTTCAGGATCTGATTCCAAACACTCGATATGAGTTTGTCGTGCGTCTCCATGTGGATCAGATGTCGAGTTCCTGGAGCTCTGTTGTTTACCACCAGACTCTGCCTGCAGGTAATTAATTAAACATACAAACGCAGCATCATTTCACCATAACTCTGTCGTGAGGAGTTGTTATTAAACTTCTCAGTAATGACAGGTGATAAGAACTTTTAATGCTCTTTGTGCAGCGCCGAGCCGCCCGCCCGCTGGAGTCCGAGTAACTCTGATTGAGGATGACACCGCACTGGTGTCCTGGAGGGAGCCCACTGAGCCAAATTTGGTGGTTACACACTACACCATTTTATACGCTTCACAGCAAGCTTGGATGGCTGGACAGTGGCAAAGAATACAGAGAGAGGGTGAGTAGGCCTTCATAGCAGGTTACACACTAAATAATGGCAGAACAACACCTTTATCTTGTGTAATTAGTAGTAGATAGATAATGCAGCATAAGATCATTTTGATTAATCAGATAACTGCCTCTTTTTGCAGATTTTTCATTCAAATACTTAAGCTTATTTTATACAATATGAGAAATGCATTAAAAAAAACAAATAATGAAATTCCTTTAAATAAGAAAATAAACATTTTCTTACCCAAAATGTAATTACACAACTTTTGTTAAGTGTATACTTGATCATTTGTGGCAAAGGATGCATCTTCAGCTAAAAAAAATACTTTTATCATCAACATGTGAAAAGCTCAGCAAGGCTGATCTGTTGATTATGTTTTAGATTAACTGAATAATAACTAGACAGAAATGGTGCAAGATTTTTTTTTTGCAGAATTTGAACCCATTGAATCTGAAATTATGCTATTTGAGTAGCTTTTAACCTTAATATAAAAATATATGTATTTCTTGTGCAGCTTTGTCTTAATTGCTGCTTTGAATATGTTGCTATTTCATCAATTGGCCTTTTTCTGAGATTGTATACTCCAGTTAATGATTAGTAATCCTATTACTAAATTGCTTGATGTATATTCCAATAATCAATTATTCTGATTAACTGTTTCTGCCCTGCTTGGAAGCTTGTTAGAGTTTATGGCATCGTGAACTATTTGAGTTACTGGGGCATTTTAAGTAGAAATTTGGTGAATTGTGGCAGTAAACTGGCACAAAACTTATGGCGTAATAAACACAAAAATGGTTCAACAAACATTAAATCCTTTTAGTTAAAAGGTGGTTGTCAATGCTACTTGTTTTGCTTATTTTTTATGTAGTTTATTATCACTTATAATGTTCATTTATGAACTTCTCAATCTGTTTTAATAACAGGGACTCATACGATGGCCTTATTAGAGAAGCTTGAGCCTGGGAATGTCTACCTGGTGAAGATTTGTGCCTCCAACAAAGTAGGCGACGGTCCGTTCTCCAGTGTTGTGGAACTGACGCCAAAGCATGGACACCTTCACCGCAGCAAGAACCCCAGGCACTCCGACGGGTTTTCAGACACAGCAGGTCAGGATCAGAGGCAGAGCACATTTATTTACAATGATTTCTTCAACACAATTTAATGTTCCACCTGTATATTTCACATTCCAGTGTTTTCTGATGGCCTCTACCACATCGACCAGAGGTCTGTGACGGGGATAATGGTTGGTGTGAGCATCGCCTTAACCTGTATCGCCATGTGTGCCTTAATCCTGATCAGCAAGGGCAGACCAAGGTAATTCATTTTATTTAAAAATACTAAAAATAAACCCACACTCCTTTTGGAAGTCTTGATTTATGTGTGTATTTTTATCGTGACACGATTTTTAGAAAATCAGCCAGTCCCAAGGTGATTGCTGTGAGAGCTGCTGAAGGTCCACATCCTGGCATGCCACTTCCTGGTAATTACTGCTTGGAGAATGTTGATGCCCTCCTACCGGCGATCAGTAATCAAATCATAGATCCTAAGGTAAAACAAACAGAACAAAGTGAACTTTTAAACACTTTTCACTCCTGTTAGTCAAACATAAAAACTGTTCTTTCCTTTTTTTCTCAGGATGGATCTGATATTGTCGTAAATAACTGCAGTTCAGCTGCCAGCAAGATTCAAAGCAAGAAGTGGCTGATTTTCAAGAAGGAGATGAGAAATCCACCTGCAAATGATGTAAGTCCAAACATCATCCCAACATTTTTCTCAAAGATGTTTTTCCGATTAGAGGTGGGTGTTATGGACTTCAAGTTATATTGCAATTTTCTGAGGTACTATTGTGATAAAGATAAAAAGTTACAAGAACTTTTTGTTAGTTCTTTTTTAGGTAACTGTCTGGCTGTGTGTTTGTAATTCATTTCTTCACAATAGAAAATAATATTTTACTTGCATGTACAAAAAATGTAAAAGCTACAAGGCGGATTTTTAAAAAAGCCGCTGTGGAGGAGAAGTGAATAAATTAATCAAATACAACACAAATTTATAAGAAACAATCAAAATCAAAAGTTTCAAATTGAAATAATTTTAAATGTTTTGTAATAAAACGAGTGTCACTAGTGGTTTGAAGCGTTGATGGTAGGTTATTCCAAAGTGAGGGCCCTCTATCCTTCAGCGTCCTTTGCTTCATTGCTGCTCTGTCTAATGGGAAGTAAAAGTCATGACATTGTCTTGTTTAGTAAGTGTGAATCGGACACCAGTCACATAAAAAAGCGTGATCCTTAAAATTTTTAAATTTATTGGCACGAACAAATTGGAAAGAATTCTAAATGCACCGATTTATCGGCCAGTCGATTTATCGGCCAATCGATTTATTGGCACCGATTTTCTTAATTTTGACACTTTCATGTAAAGCCGATCTTATCTCCTGATCTTATGTACCTCAGCAAAATCTACTTCTGTCCTCTTTTGCTCTGCTATGAAGAAGGTTTGACCGACAGACCGGCTCATCAGGTTGTCTGCACGTTTGCAGTTAGCAATAGTCGTCCCACTATTGTCGACTCAGAGACTTTCTTGCTATATTTGTTGACGATTCAGACAAAAGATAAACAGGTGTTGGCCAAAATCGTTTTTTAAAGATTGGTAATCGCCGATCAGCCAGAAAACTGCAATCGGAGTACCCTTAATTATAAAACTAACAATCAATTAATTAAAAACTAACAATCAATTAACCCCCCACAGCTTTGGGGGGTTTAAAACATCATTATTTGGAATTTAACAGGCAACAATAAATCAAATCTGTGATAAGAAACTTTTCACAATAATGCCCGCCCTTACTTTCGATTATTTCTTACGTTTGACTGTCTCTCATTAGGCTGAGACAAGAGCCTGTTTGTACGAAACTGGCAAAACCGTCCTGAGGTACGACGACCGGCTCGGCTCGGCTCCTCTGCCCGCTTCGTCTCGGGAGATGATCTACGGACCGCTTCACCCGGAGAGCTCTCAAAGCAGCGAGGGCAGCCAGGAAACTGGTGACTCCGGACACTACTCCAACGAGGAAAGCAATGAAGAACCGAGCAACTCGTCAGCCTCCCAAAGTTCCAGAGCAACATGTGTGGAGTCAGATCACAGCGCTGATCTTAAGCAGTCTGTCAAACTGGAACTAGAGGGAATGTCGGCCCGTCGCGCAGCTCTTGAAGCTTCCTGGTTTAAGGCTCGTCCCCAAGCCGCCTGCTCCTGACCCCTCCAGGCCTGTTTCCACCCTCCACCAGCCAAAGCTACCCCACTTCTACCTCATTCGCTTCCTGAGAAGAGAGACCCTTGAGTATTTCATGACAGAGAGGGGAAATCAGGAACCAGCTGCTGAAACGGAAGAAATGTGGATTCGCTTTGAACGTACCTCAGGATTTTGTATGAATGTTCTTAAAACATTTATTTTCCTCCTTTTTTTACACAACTTTCTACCTGTTTGCGTGTTTGGTATTGTCTGTCCTAACCAAAGCTCACCCATGATGAATGTTTGAAAAGAATGTCAGAATTTACTGTGATACATTTTATTATATTTATTAGAGATGCACCAATCGTGACGATTCGCTTATTGGAAAAAGTTTGGATTTTTGATTTCATCCAATTCTTTCTTGGTGCATATCTAATATTTACTCGTCTACTATTATGGAGGATCTAATGGAGCCGTTTTGGATTAGTAATCTACCTCAGCTTACTCTTAAGAATATACATTACTACCTCCTTTTACCACATGTTCTGCAGTATTACCTCAGACTCAGGGGACAAAGTGAAAAAAAGCTTAATTTCCATGTCAACTTTGTTTTATTTCAGTTTCTGCCTACATGGTTGAAAGTAATTTAGTTTCTCTTCATTTGTCTTTGTCGAAAACATGAAAAGTGCATTACATTTTGCCAAACTATTTTTAGCTTTATGAAATAGTTTTGTTTGGCATTTTGGTACACTGAACTTAAAGCTTTAACATGGCCTTAATGAAGAAAGGGCTTTACATGCTATAGATGGTTAGATCCAAAGACAGAAGAAGAAAAGAGAAACTGCACCCAAAGAGCTTCATTAGAAACTATAAGGCAACCAAAAATATAGCTGATGTCCTTTTGGGATGTGTTTGCCAAAATATTGTTCTCACCAGAGATGTTCCCTTCAACGGTGCTGGTTTCTCTGAGTGATTGTTAATAATGCTTTATTCTGGCGAAAGCTTTAGCACAAGCCTTGTGCTCTGTTTGCCTTCTAGACCATTGCTAAGTGCAGAGGTGATGCCGATGCTATTATCCAAAGAGTTGTTCTGCTTCCTCAGACGGGTGCAGCTTGTTTTATACAGTTGATCCTTGGCATGACCTGGTGAAAAGTACACACACAAGACCAAAGATCCAGTGTGTCCTGCCACTGATGAATGGATTTAATTATTCTAAACTGCGAGAATCATTCATCAGCATTCATTAACTCTGTTGTAAGGATGAAGACTTTGCTTTTGTCCTTTATATTTCCTGTCCAGGTGTGACAGTAAAAAGATTCTGACTATCATAAAGAAAACCCTCTGTGCGAAGAGCAACATAATCAGATTTGTATATCTTTTTAATACAAATAATCCTAACCAAAGGATCTTACAGTCAGTTAATTTAGTGAATTTCTTTGGTTTTCATTTACATTGTACAAAGGAGTTGTATTCAAAGATAATATGGTTTCCGCTGAATTTGGATTCTAGAAAGGCATTTTCTTTTCACACAGTTATTTTTCTATTCTTGGGATGCCAGAAAGTGTTTTGGTGTCTTTTTAACCACTTTGAATTTTAACCTGAATGATTCTTAGGTTCCTTTGGGAAAATTCTGATTTAGATTGTATTTCTTTAGCACAATGTTGTGAACCAAAAACATTTATTGTGATACTTTTCCAAAAATGTCTTCTTTCGGTTTTAGTTAAAGCAGTGTGATGGCTGCTGTAAAATGGCTAAAACTGAAAGCTAATGTTGAAGCCCAACAGGTTTGGAATTTAGACATAGAATGTAGATTTAACTGTTATTTAATTTTTCGGATGTTTTTTTTTTTTTTTAGTAACAGAAAACATCTTCTAAACCAAAGTGAGCAACAAAATATATTATTTTATGGTGTTGAACTGTTGCAACTAGCTTTTTGATACTCAGACTGTTAAAGATTAGATAATAAAATTGTTCTTGGAAAAATATGTAATTTGTGTTTTCTTCTTTTCACCTTGAAAGTAAACTTGAGAAGTAGCCTACAACTAGATTTGATTTATTGTAAGAAGTTATTAGATATTTTGAAAAACTGCTAACTGCTACTACAGAGACAGGAGCATTTAATATAAACCTCTTTGCTATCTTGTAGAAAGCTTCACTGACATCATGTGGTCTTGAAGATGACTAAAACTCCAGATGACATTTGCAAATCATTTTATAGATTTTAGCTAACAAGTATGATATTAATGAGAAAATTAAAATATCTTAAAAAATATTTTATGCTAGAAGCAATAGCAATAAAGAGTTCAGTTACCACTATTTCAAGATCCCAATTTTTACCCTTTGTCCATAAAGTAGGTGTAATTGTTCAATAATAATTCAGCAGAATGAAACTGAACTATTTAATTTAATTTATTTATTTCAACATGTTTTGTTTATTTCATGTAGTTAACTAAAACAAAGAACATCTACACTTCATACACAATAAATATAAAAAATATTACATTAATATATTTTAAATTTTATTTTTTTAAATGTTTTTCTGGGCCAAATAAAATGTAAACAATTTTTCACACTTTTAGTAATATCACAATTTAAAATATATTTCCAATACTGTGTTTTGTGTTCTCAAACTACATTGAAACTCTTACTTTATATTGAAAATAAGATTTCTAGTTAAATATTTTTATTCTGAATATCCCCTAAAAAATTACTTCAAAAACAATTTAATCTCAACTTTTAACTATGATTACTAAAATTAAATCAACTTTTTTCAAACAGCATTTTTTTTCCTCCCTTTTGTAGTTTTTAGAAACAATAAAACTCCAAGAAAGTCAGAAGTTGAAGGTCCAACCAGCAGGGGGCAGCAGAGTTTTAATAGAGGCGGTGGCTGCTGTCATTCTGGAACAAGAAGAAAAAGGAAGCGACGGCTCGGTCTTGTTTTGTTTAGCTGCTACACGCAGCTAATCTCGGTGCCGAAATGCGCATCGAAAAGTGTTATTTCTGTTCGGGACCAGTGTATCCCGGACATGGAGTCATGTTTGTACGGAACGACTGTAAGGTAGGGTTCAGTTTATCTGTCCGAAAAGTAAAGTTAATTCAGGAAACGTAAATGTTAAGAGTTGTTGGGGCAATTAGCTGGATGATAAATCGCTCACGTGGTAACCAAATCAGCGAAAGCGGAAAACGATGTATATACATTTGATCAGCTGTACTTAAGACAACCAGATGAATTTGAAATTGATTCTAAAACCGATGTCTAGTTTGTAAGTGATTAATACTTAACAGAATACAATACTGTCTTGGCCTGAGCTTTGGGCCTCGTTTTTATCGTGACAGTGTAAGTGCGCCCTCTAGCGTTGGGAGAAAAAAACACAACGACCAGGAGCTGAAATGTAAAACTCGATGCTTTATTTTTATAGAATCTGTCGATGTTGACTGTAAAATTGGTGTGTGCTTTGTTAAAATGTTACACAGATTAATAATTGTTTTGGTATTTTATAATATTATTATTATGGATATTATAATGTAAAATTATAATGAATGACAATTGTCCCAGCACTTGCAGCCGTAGCAAATATGTACCTTAATAACGCCAATCTTCAAAAAAAAGTAAAGCAAGGAATGCAATTCACAGTGGATCATTTAAATTACACATTTTTATGTGAAACATGAAATAGTAAAAAAAAATTTAATACATTTTATTCAGACTAAGAATGCAGTATATTGAGATGCAGTCATCACATGAAGGCATCCATAATCAAAATATTTGGTTTGCCTTAACATTTGAATTGTATGTAAATATTTATTTCAGTATGTATTTCAGCTGCCATGCAATAAAATTATACTTTCTGATATTACATTTGGCCTTTTTGATAAATTCCACAATTGACAAATAATAATGAAGATGCAAAAGAAGTTGAGTTGAGTGGACTGGAAATTACAATGTGGGTTAATTATAATCTGCATTGCTATCTTAGTTTGTAATAACATCACTTTGTCACTAATTGTGACATTTTACCCTTTGTTGTCTGAAAAACAATCAACATGGCCTTAATGAAGAAAGGGCTTTACCTCTCACCTGTTCATGATAACCCTTTGTTGTCTGAAAAACAATCAAATCTTTTTGCTGAAAAATGCAAAAAATATGTACATTTTTAAAATCTCTTTGTTGGGACCACAATAGTTGGGGATAATTTGTCTTGACATAATGAAGCATCTCAATTACATACAGGCCTTCAGTTTAATTGTCCTCTCTCTGTCTTATTTAAAAATCAGATGTTCAGATTCTGCAAATCAAAATGCCACAAGAACTTCAAGAAGAAGCGTAACCCAAGAAAGACAAGATGGACCAAAGCTTTCAGAAAGGCTGCTGGAAAAGAGTTGACTGTGGTAAGATGCTCAATTGAGTTTTGATTATTTATTAAACAAAAAATATCTAGTAGTCCTATTTCTTACCCCGAAATATTTTGTTTTTCGTCTTTAAGGACAATGCTTTGGAGTTTGAGAAACGCAGAAATATTCCAGTGAAATATAACCGGCAACTTTGGGACAAGACAGGTAAAGTTTTTGCTTTTTCTAATTAAAAAAAAAACATTTTTTTGTTATGAGACTGGAACAGTTATATTTTAATATTTTATTACTTTCTTAGTTGAGGCAATGAAGAAGGTGGAGGAAATAAAAGTGAAACGACAGGCAAGATTTATCATGAACAGGTGAGAGGTTGATTTCTTTTTCATATTACAGCTGCTATTTTTTGTGCTTATAAATGTTATAAAGATATTTTTTGGTTCTTTGCTGCAGATTAAAGAAGGGCAAACAGCTGGAGAAAGAAGAGGCCATCACCGAAGTCAAGAAAAATATTCACCTTATCAAAGCTCCACATGCAGGTAAAACTTTGGTTTCTGTAATTTTCATTAAAGTTATGTTTTTGTTTTTCATATATATATATATATTTAAATGTGACATAAATGATAAAAAATGTGCAGCTTTGTTAGGAGAAAGAAAGCTTTATATTCAAGAATTAAGGGTTCAGTGAGAATGTGTGTTCTTACATTCTCACTGTTTTTACAGGCAAAGCCAAGCAGCTGGAAGACAAAATGGTGCAGAGGTTACAAGAAGATGTGGAAATGGGGGATGAAGATGATTAACTTAAAACTCTGTCGTTGTTTTGTTTCATTGCTTAAACTTGGCTCCTTCATTTTATCTGCAGTTTATATTTCCAGAAATAACATTAGACACAGTTATAATGGACATGTTTTCTTTTTCTTTTTAAAATAAAATAGATCCATAGCTGTCTGTCAATTTCTTCTGTGTTTAAAAATATCTTACATCAATGTTAAAAGGTTATCAATAATAAATTAACAATCATCTTTTTACTGTGGTCATTTTGAAATCTTTAAAAGGTAAATAATTTCAGTTTAAGTTAATGGATTTTGCTGCTAAATCACTCAACTTTGTGCTTTTATGAAAAACATTTTAGAGGAAAGTAAGATTATCTGTGCAGGAAAATAGTAAACACAATCAGATCATAGAAAAACAGGAACAACATGTTCCACAGAATAAAGAAAATATTGAATAACACGCCTTCATTGTGGGGAAGTAATTAGTTTGACCAAACATGAGAAAGACGAATGAAACAAAAATATTTTACGTGTGTTATTATAATTCATAATATGAAATTGTATCGTTATAATTATTGAAGTTGGGGGGGAAAAAAAGTTATTTTCCAATTTGCTCCGCTTTGGGATACATATAGAAATAAACATTAAATAGAAAACGGAGCGAGCACATTTGTAATGAAAGTACAGAAAATAACGTAATGTTTCTTGACTATGCAGCCATCAGTTGACCCACATTGCGGTGAGAGCCTCTTCCGCTCATCACACCGCTCATGTTATCCGGCCGCCAAGTGGGCGGAATTTGAAGACTGAAGTTTGTAAGCTTGAACTGAAGTCTGTGACTTGCACATTATGAAGTACATAAACAAGCTATAACTCACATATTTAGCGCGTGTATTGTTTGTTATAATTGTTGATTTCTCTGACAAACACCGTGTCACCGTGACGTCTCCTCCCTCGAGCAGACAGTTTTCTGGCAGTCCTTCCGTCCCCAGTGTTAAAAGGAGCGGATCCTGGCTCTCTGGCATCGATTTACTCGGCCTGTTTCTGTCATCCTCTTGGCGCTGCCTCCGCTTCTTTTCATCTGCTAGAACATCGGGCTGCTCAGAAGAAAAAGAGCCACAGTTTGGAGAACAGATTCAGGTTTTTAGTTTCCGGAAATGTCCGAAGAACGTGAAGAAATGAGGACTTTGGAGGAGCAGCAGGTAAACCTAAACAATGAATGTGTTTTAGTGCGATTAGCGCAGCTAATAAACAGCACAAACAAGAAAACCTTACAGGCGGCAAACGTCAAGCTAGTTAGCAGCTAGCTTATTTCTCAATCGCTGTTTCAGCTTTAAACATTACTTATTTGTCAAATATTATTGGGTTGTTTTGGAAACTTTTACTAAACACCCATCTTAAAAAGAAAATCTGCGTTTACGGTAAAGATATGTCATTTTAGCATGTAGCTATGGGGAAACAACCGTTGTAACCGTTGTAGCTTATGGTGCTGCCTTACTGTTACTTGTCCGGATTATGCTTGTTAAAATGCATTATGGCTTCTTTAAAACATGGTTTTGCACTCATTTGTAATTCATTGGAACTGTTTTTATCAACACACGCTGCCTTGAGTCTAACAGGAAATGGAGGACAAAGTCATCAGCCCAGAAAAAGCAGAAGAGGCCAAGCTGAAGGCCAGGTATCCTAACCTGGGAGCCAAGCCCGGCGGGTCAGACTTCCTCAGGAAAAGACTCCAGAAAGGGGTACGTTTCTTACGCAAACATTAGGTTTTTAAAAAAATATATAAATCTGTTCGGATGAATTCCATTTCCCCTCCTCATTCTTGGCCTTCAACTTTACATTTTATAAAGTAAA